ATTATTAGAAACACATAATTCGAGTAAATTTTTAATGTTTTTAATTTTTTTTTATTATTATCGTTACTAAAATGGTTTGAAAAAATTAATGCAATATAGAACACACAAAAATCATTTTGGCCAGACGGGCAAGCCATGCAAAATTAGCGTGGTAATTAAATTATTATTATTATTATTATTTTTTTGTGGAAGTTGCAATGAGCGTTTGAGTGACTATAAAGGTGTTAAATAAACCTTAAATAATCCTCAAATTCCAAAAACAAGCATTTAAATAAAGAAAAAATTATATTCTGGTTAAATTGATTATTTTTGGAAGTATGTGCCAGTACCAGCTTTATCATATTTGGTTACACTTAATAAAAAAAAATCCGTTTTTTCTTAGACAAATCTATATAGTAACTAATTCATTGACCGTCCTCATTAAGGATCTTACAGGAGTTTAGCAATCAAGGAACATAAGTAATTTTAATATAATATCTTTGAATCTTATCGTAAATTATAAGTTCCCCCAAATTTAAGAACAAAATCCAAAAATAAAACTTAGATCGTGTTTTACTGCAGTGATATAGGCTTCATGAGCCCCATTCTTTACATGTGAAACTATGTCTCTTTGACCTGATGTATTAGAAAATAAGTTATTATTGACCAAATGGCAACAATGCCATTTAACAGAAAAGAAGTCTTTGTATATTTTAAAGTGATGCAAAGCCTATTTTAGTAATTTAAAATAGCTGTTGAAAGAGGACTTTATTTGACAGTTTTTCAATATTTCGTTTATTTATTAAAATATGTCATTTGTGTGGCTTCTAAATAGTTAATTTTTGCGTGTTTTGTGGACGATTTTATGTTCTAAGTTAGAGTTAAATGTGATTCTTGGTTTAATAGATTGGATTTTTAAAATAATATCCATTATTTCTACAGCCAAATAAGTAATTCAAACACGCATCTGTGTTTTTAGAATTTTTTTTTAAAGATTGAGTCAGTATTAAATGTCCCATTATTGCAGCATATGATCTATTTGACATTATCACATTCGGTAAATCAATGATACAAACACCGATTAGTATATAAAATTGGTTGGAAAATTGAGGCACATGTGAAATTTGTGCGATTTGAAAGCAGTTTGTATTTGGATTAAGTGTGGGCAATCCCACGATTGCCCACACTTTGGAGTAGAGTTTATTGACCACTTGCATAAGAGGTATAAGCTTTTCAAAATACGATGTTACACACAAAATAATATTCATTTATTAACTTCAAACTTGTTTTTCTTCATAGCTTTAAAGTTATCTAAGCTCATTATTGTTTTAAAAAGAAAAGAAAATCGAAAATTTAAAAAGATCTGATGATTAATTGGTTAGGTTGATATTTTTTTTGTTGTTATCCACATTACTGTGGATAATTGCAGTGGTGATGTCACAATAAAGAAAATACCACGTTATTTTAAATGCTGCTAAAAAATTTAATAACTAAGAAAAATTATTCTGCTGAATTTACCAAAACTGCAGCTATACAGAAATAGTATTTTTGAAATGTTTTTAAATGATTAAAAGATCAATATTTTGATCAATGTTAATTAATATTTTGAAAGATGAAAATTTCAAAATTCTATTTCTAAAATTTTAGAATTCCACTTCTTCAGTGAAAATTAATTTTCTGTTAGTGTTAAATGCTCTTTAATAAAAAATATCATCATTATAATAATTATATTGTCTTATCATGATTTTAGGTAGTTGATACCCAAGAATTTCATGAGAAGGGAAAAGCCGGTGGTCCTCATACAGTGCATTGTTTGCCAAGTGGTGATGTCATGATAAGCTGCTTAGGTGATGAAACTGGAGAAGCTAAAGGTGTGTGTATCTATTTCATATTTTTCTTTTGCTTCATCTTTAAGTAATACAGTTTGATTAATTAAATCATATATGAGTATCATATGAATGCTAGAATTATAATTTTAAGAAACTATAATATTTTTTCATCAAGATCAAAAGAATTGCATCAGAGTAACGAGGGACAACTCAAAAAACCATATAGAAATTTTAAAAAAAAAATCGTAGTTGATACGTTTTTAACGGGTGATTTAAATGCTCTAACTTTAATTAGGGAAAAATAACAACTGAAGTTTAAAAACAACAATACACCTTGGCATGGTCGAACCCACTTAATTGGCTTTTTCTTTTATGCCCATTGCATGACTGCCACATATTTTTGATCCGTTGTTCAAACGAGGTGGGCAATGCCTGGTTCGACCACATTTCTGCAACTTCCACTTTAGTTTTAAACCACGCAGACTCTTAGTGGGTGGAGCTTATCTTCTTTTTGCTAAACACGGTTCATATCATCCATAGGTTCCTTCCAGATCTTTCTCCCCATAGCCTCTTTTTTGCAGCAGACTTAGTTCAGAGCACCATTTGATTCGGTAAATTGAGAATTTAATGTCTTTTTATTTGGAGTATATTTTATTTTTAATATTATATAACCGTCGTTGAACAGTCGACCCAATTTTTGGGTTTACGACTACGAATGTTCAACTACGTAGCCTTGTAATTTTGAACCCAATCCAGAAGACAAGGGAACTCCTGGATCAAGTATTGGGGAAAATTTGCCTTCGAGGATGACTTATAATGGAACTAACCCGCTGATGGAACTATTGATGGAACTAACCCGCATTTGCTTCACATGGAGAGTAAGACCACAAGAACCTCCCACGGTTAGTCTGAGGACAAGGGGAGTCTAACCCATGATCAGTCTACTACTGAGGATATTTCACATCAGCACTGTGGTCGGTGCAAGCTGGATGCGGAATTCATATCTACTGGGATTCGAAACCGGTTCAATTTATTGGAAGGCGAATGCTCTATCCCCTGAGCCATCGCAGCTCTATTTGGAGCATAGACAATTTTGGCTCTTGTAACATTGAAACCTAAATTCAGTCTTATCCTTTATTCCATCATATAGATTTAATCTATGAATTGCTTCGTATGTACCCTGTTTAATCAGACTCCAGAATCGAACTCGTGACTCATCACTTTATCACATTTGTAGGCTGTGCTTCAACTGGCTACTATTAAATATTTATACCCCCTTTATCTTTTCATTTTAAGGAAACCTAACATGATTTGATCACGAATGAGTTGAAAAATTAGGGAGAATTTGAAGAACAATGATTATAGACAAGAATGAGAACTTCAAAACATGATAGTGGAAAAAAGTTTATGGTTTAGAAATAGTGATAGTTTCTTGGTTTAGCTACCACTGCTTAAAACGATTTTTTTTAAACATTTGCATGCATTAGGGCTATTGTGATTGGGATCGATTTAATGTGAAGTAAATTTTCTAAATTCTATTTAAAAAAAAAATTTCAAAAATTTCAATAAAAAGTTACAAATACGATTAACAACAATAACATTTCTTTGTTCTGATATAAAATCAAAGTAATATTGTTTGCAAAAGAAATTATAAATTTGTATTTAAAAACACGAGCAAGTTTTTTTTTTTTTAAAAAATTCTCATTTGTGAAAAAAAGCTGGTGTTTATGTTATGGGAAAGTTAAATACATTTTAAAGCGACAATTTTGAAAAATTTCAAAAACGCTCTATTTTAACGGTTTTCAAGCTGATAGTTAGAAGTCACTAAGAAAAACAGTTTTTCCTTTTCAAAAGAACAAAATGGCACGAAAGTGAGAATTATTTCTTGAAAAGATTAGTAGAAAGAATAGGAAAGGATTATTTAAATAAGTTTATTGGTTAACAATCGAGGTAAATAAAAATGTTTTTATTTAGTGGTGACCTTGAGAGTTATACCTATTAGAAAACAGTCAACGATAAGATTGTACGTAAATACAGCAGCAGAAGTACGAAACGTTTGTATACGTTTTCATAGGTGTTCTTTTTCTTTTTTTAAAAATTTTTTTGCTAAAGCAAAATATGGTTACATGCAAATCTCAAAATATATAACAACTAATATTCAACTAAATGATGGTAACTGAAGTCATGTACGATGTTTACTTTTTAATCATTATTATATATTTATTTAGAACTAGTTATTACTAGTCTAGGTGTCAGCATTCTTCTTGTTCCATGCATATTGTTTAGTTTAGCATAATGTTTGGAACAGACTTGATTTCAAAATTTTAAATGTTGCAATAAAGTATCAATAATATAAGTCTTCCTTTTCAGGCACTTTTGTACTATTAGAGCAAGGCACATTCAAAGTGAAAGGCACATGGCAAGACGAAAATGATAGTGTTGAATTTAACTATGATTATTGGTATCAGCCTCGCCACAATGTTATGGTTAGCACAGAATGGGCTGCACCCAATGTTTTTAGAAATGGATTTTTTCTGGAAGACGTACAAAAAGGTAAATTTGCTGCAAATTTTTCTTTATTAATTTTTGTATAAAATAAACATTTTAATGAGGTTTATTTATTTTTTTCAAGAATTGAATCTGAAAGATTTGAAAATGTTTATCTGCTGGCTTACAGATATAGGAAATAACACAAAAAACTTAATCATTTTACTGTTAAAAGTTTTAAGTCTTTTGAGCCATAATATAACACATCGGCTGATAAGTTTCCGGTCTAACATACAGATGGCGCCCTAAATGCAGAATTAGTATTTTGTTTAGCAAGTCCTAAACTTCAAATAAAAGGTGTCAAAATTTCATAACGATCTGTAGATTGATTTTAAAGTTACAGTGATTTTAATTGAACACCAATTAATATTATTGAAACAATGGATTAAAAAGAATTTCGTGAATCCCACGAGCATTTTTTTCAAGTCTGCAAACAAATAAAAGTCACTAGGAGCCAAATCTGGTGAATAGGGTGGGTGCGGGTGAATAGGGGGTGTCTGACACAATGTCAAACAGCTCTCGGAATCATCAATTCGTTCTTGTTTTTGGTCAGCTGTTAGCACACGCGGCACCCACTTCGAAAACAGCCTTCTCGTAAACAAATGTTCGTGCAAAATAAAGCCTAAAGCTCTTTTGATATATTTAGAGTATCAGCTATGTCATGCTACTTCACTTTTTTGTTTTCTATAACAGTTTTGTGGACTTTTATTATGTTTTCAGGATTTACCACATCTTTAGGACGTCCAGAGCGTGGCGCATCTTCAACATTTGTACGACTACGTTTAAAATCAGCAAACCAGTCAATAATGGTCGATTTTCCTGGTGAAGAACCCGGATAACACTTATCGAAGCCACGCTTTAGTTTCTACCGTGTTTTTTCCAGTTAAATAACAATGTCTTATAAGAACACGAAATTCTTTTTTATCTATTGTTTCAATAATATAAATTGGTGTTCGATTAAAATCACTGTAACTTTAAAATCAATCTATAGATCGTTATAAACACCTTTTAACACCTTTTATTTGAAGGTTAGGACTTGCTAAACAAAATACTAATTCTGCATTTAGGGAGCCATCTGTATGTCAGACTGGAAACTTATCAGCCGATGTGTTAGCCCAAATTAGAGACAAATTTCAACATGGTGCAACGTAGAGCCATATTATCTTGCTGGTTATTTAATTATTTTTGATGGTTTGAGAATCACATCACCCAATGATGGAAAACTATCTAGCCCCATTTTCGGGCTCTATCTTTTAACGGCTATGGTAGGAATGCTACGTAATTTTGATCCCAGTCTTATGATGTTTACAGCACTTGAGCTGATACTTCTCTCTCTGAACTCAAACAACTAAATTAACAAGAGAAATTTTAGCCTAGACAGATTTAACGTGCACCTACCTTGCTACGCATGGATGCCGGTAATTTAGTCGACTGCCAGAATCGAACTCACGGATCTCAGTTCTCGACCAGCGAAGTGAGCGATGCTTTAGAAACAGTATTTGTCGCAAAAAGCATTAAAAAGAAGAAAAATCAACAAAATTTAGAATATTCACTTTACTTGTTTTTCATCGATTCAGGGTCACTGATAGTATCTAATGATTTAAAAAAAATGAATTATTGATGATTGACCTTTTTTTTTTGTCTTAGGTCATTATGGTCACAGTATTAACATTTGGGATTGGACTACCAGAAAGCGAATCCAGCGAATGGATTTAGGAGCAGAAGGTCTAATTCCACTCGAAGTTAGGTTCCTTCATAATCCTGATTCAGCTATTGGATTTGTAGGTTGTGCTCTATCGTCCACAGTTTTCAAGTTTCACAAGCACAGCGTGAGTTTCATATTACTGATATTAAATATTTCTTTTATGGTTTGAATTTCATTGCATAAGAACTGAAGGTCGAACACCAGTGGCGGCTAGAAGCCCACCCAGCTTCAGATCGATGGATACTAGCTTGTCTGGGAAGTAATGGCTGCCTGTGCGCAGTGCTGACCACATTGTTTCGAAATTATGGAGCCTTATCCTCCATGAACCCCTTCGCCTACAATGGGCTACTTCAGGAATGCTTTGCTTGATTTTTTAGTTTAAAAACCGTCGTTGAGCAACAGACTCAATTTTGGTTAATGACTACTAATGTTCAACTCCGTAGCTTTGAACTCAATTCAAAAGGCAAAGGAACTCTGGATAAAGTATTGGGTGAAATTTGCTTTCGTGGAGAATTTTTTTGGTGGAACTAACCAGCATTTGCGTTACATGGAGAGGTAGACCACGAGAACCTCCCGCGGTTAGCCTGACGGCAAGGGGACTCTAACCCGCGATCCGTCTACCACTGATGATATTTCACGCCAGCATTGTCGTCGGTGCTAGTCGGGTGCGGAATTCGTATCAACCAGCCATCGCCGGGATTCAAACCCGGTTCACTCCTTGGAAGGCGAACGCTCTATTCCCTGAGCCGCCACGGCTCTACTTTTTTGGTTTAGTTGCATCCACGTGATTCATTGAAAGAGCATAAAATAGGATGAAATATTTCATAACCTTTTAATTAAACTTTCAGGTCAACCTCGCACATTTATTTAACCCTTTTTGGCACAGTTTGTCAGTCTGACGACTCATAATCCATAAACGTTACAAACCATTATAAATGTAAAACTAAGCGATCATCAATTTTTCCATTCCTTAAGCAACAGAGAGAGAAAGTCTGCCACTTCATTATATATTCCTACTGTCTAAAATTTGCTGTTCTGCTTAGGTTTAAAAGTTCTTATTGGAGATAAGTTTAGCTTCATATAATTGTTCCAGTTATATTTGGCGGAAATTTGGAGAACAGTAATACAGTTCGTATGAGGTACAGCCACATAAAACTAGCCCATATCTTGAGAAGTGAATCATTACATTTCGTTGTTGTTATCCTTGCTTAAATATTCATTTGTGTATTTATTACTACTAGGATAGTGTATTTATTATTACTTTACTAGGATTCTAAAAATATGTGTTAAGACCCATCATAGTCGAACATCCTGTATAAAATAGTGCACACACATTTTTAGTGATATTATATTAAAACTCAATTTATCGATTTGAGTTGTATTATACTAAAATAATTTCATGCAAAACTTTAGGATACAGAAGCAAATAAATGGGTAATTACTTTTTGTATTTTACATTGTTTAGCATTATAATAGCTCAACTTACCAGATTTATAAATGCGTTATTGTCGTTCTTAAGTGATGAGCATTATGCTATTACAAGTCTCAATGAATTGTGTTGGAGCAGCTATCGCATACTTCACAGTCTAAAACCATTTTTTAAAAAAAAAAATTCCTTGAAATGTCACTGTGCTTGGTTCTTTGAGTATGGATCTATGCATGATCCTCTACTACGGGATTAAATTTTGACTACTACGTTATTGGTTACTGTTCAAATTTTACATGTAAGTAAAATTCAAAGCAAAACTTTAAATCTTCAGCTTTTTCATTAATTTTTATTTCAGGCAAATACGTTCAAATGTTTTCAATTATAACCAGAATCGAATTTTCATTTATTATATTATACTAGGAGGCTCCGCCCCCTGCTCGCTAACGCTCGCCAACCCCCGAGAATTGCTACGCAATCCTATGTGGTTCACGCCGTGAACCATGGCTCGCTGCGCTCGCTCGCCAATGAACACAATGTTCTAGCACAAAGACATAATATATTATCATCAAAGACATAGTATTTTATCATCAAAGACATAGTATTGTACTTATGTAGAAGAATTCTACCAATGTTCTTATTGGCTTTTAAAAAAGTATATTAGCTATTTAGATTGTACATGGTGAAAAAATCAAAACATTAGCTAAATAAGAAACATATTAGCAAAATAAATTATCAAATATTGCTTCACTAATATTCTGCATTTTAAAGCGTGAAAATTCAATGCATAAATAAACGCGAAATATAAAAAAATTCAATGCATTCAATACAAACACTTAAACGTTTTTTAGACGTTTAGGTAGCTCCCAGTAGAAAAATATCAATTCAACAGCGGCCTTTTAAAGCATTCTCACTTCAATTAATTAATTAATTCCTAATTGAGTTTAAATTAAATATTATCATGTTTTTAGGGCATGAATCTGAATTGAACAACCTGATAATGCTCACTCTGGTTATTGTTTCCGTTTTTAAAAGCGCTATATGTTGAGCCACCTCATGTGACATTTGCCATGTGACATTTTTAGCAGCAATCATTGGTCGATTTTCTAGCGTTGCCATTCGGGGATTTGTAATGAGGCTTTTTTTTGGTGCCGTGTAAGAGAAATATATATATAGATTATATTATATTATTTTAATATATTTATGAATCTCTATTTGTAGGATGGTTCTTGGAAATCTCAATTGGTCGCAAGAACTCCAAACAAAAAAGTAGCAAACTGGATTCTTCCTGAAATGCCGGGTAAAATATTTAGATACAGATTCATTCCAGAACTGAAAACAGAATAGTAATTTATATGTGATATTAAACTTGATTTTGTGCATTTCATGGGTGGACATAAGTATTTAAGTTGTATGTAAAATTTTATATCTACGATTTATTCTTGTTATTATTAGCTTGGAATAATATTCGATTTATTGAACTACGATGCAAGAGGATAATATTTATGAAGGGAAATTTTCGGTAAAATTATTTGAAATAGATTTGTTATTTTTTAATAATTCGGCAGTTTTCACATTTAAGGATATTTACATAAATAGGAGAAATATTGTGTGTCATATTTGATGCACGTTTTATTTTATTTTATAACTGGTGAACAATCTGAGTTGAGGACTATCAATTTTCAACTCTTTGGTTTTGTAATTTTAAATACAACCCAGAAGACACGGACACTCCCGGATAAATCATCGGGACAAACTAGCCTTCGTGGAAAACTCTTTGGAAGAACTAAACGAACGGAAAGGTAAACCAGAAAAATTTCTCACGGTTAAGGAGATTCAAGGAGATACTAACCTATGATCCGTCGACCACTGAATATACTTTATATTTGCCCCATGGTCAGTGATCTGATGAGTACATTTATGAAATAAGTCTTCACAAACATTGGCATATGGCATTTTGTCAAAATATTCTTTTTTATTGCTCCTACTTGAATCGCCTTAACATCGCCCGAAATACATTTTTACCATTCTTTTCAAAAAGGAAGTAAAAAAAATTAGACACATTAGGAATCTCAAATTAATATTTTGGCGAAGAAGATATGAAAACGCTATCAAAGTCGGAGCGTAAAGAATATCAAAACCTGTTTGATTGCTGATTTAAACTTAAGAGAGCTTCAAGTATCTTTCAACTTCTCTCTGTTTTATAGCGCAATCAAACAAGTTTCCGTCTATCCTCTTTCTCATTAATTATTCGTCAAAATTCTATAGGCTTTTAATTTTCCTCCTAGCTTAAATATCAATTTACGATCCACATTTGCACATTTTTTGACAAGAGTTTTTTATGTATATGTTAAGGGGGGTGGTTACAAAACACTTTGCATGCATACAGTATAATGCTTTTATGTACAGTCCGCAAAAAAAAAAAAACGAATCACCCTGAATAATTTTCGTTCTAATGATCGGATTTTCACGAACTAAGTGTCAATCTTAATGGTTTCTGGGGGTGACCTCAAATATGCTAATTAATTAGTGCTAACTATTAATTAAGTTACGAAATCAGACACAAAAACGTACTTTCTCTGAATAAACATATATATATTTTTACATATTTGGAATCTAGGCACTTGAAAATTTTTAAAAAAATTTTAAAAAAATTGGGTGGTAAATTGGGCAGCAATAAAGGTTTATATATTTGGCGATAGTCCGGAAAACCGCCAAAAAAAAGTCGCCTGTGCAAATTAATATTTTAAGATAACCCATTGACTAATTCAAAAGAGGAATGCTTCATTTTACTAGGTTGCTAGGCAACCACGCTCTGACTGTAAAAAAAATTTAAATAATGTTTGTGATTGCTGGGAGAGGTTTAATTAATTGCTTGGCTATATCACACGAGAGAAAATATGT